TGGGACACATCATAGTAGTCCAGCTTGTAGTAACACAGAGCCACGTAAACCTTCAGAGCGAGGAAATCTCTGAAACACAAGATGCATCGTGGGTGTGAAACTGGCTTTCAGACTTGTAGTTGGACACAAAATATTTCAGATTTCTTTACAGTAACAATATAGTGTTTAGCAATTGTTACCCATGTCATGAAGTTAATCCCTCACTATTATCTCATGTTGCTTGACATTCTAGTCTGTATTGTGACAACCCCTCCTTTCCTCTCGGGGGTCTGTGTCCCGTTTACAGGATGTTGATCATCAGCTGATGAGCCACACCTGAGCCTGGTGTTGTTCCAGCTATAAAAGCTCAACACCTAAACATGGATGCTCTCTTCCTTGGCTGACATGGCTTCTGTTCAGTTTTGTTTGCTTCAGATATTTTCACACATGCTGACATCACTGATTACTGACCCTTCATGTTTGTTTAGTTTATGTTATCCTTTAAATAAATGTGCTTATTTAATACTTTACACCAGTCTGCTCTCCCATTTATGTTGCAGCCTTTGAGCCGGGCTGTAACAGAATGTCGATTTAATTGAACTATTACTTGAATCAGATAAGAAAATAAAGATTTCATTCCAAATCATGACAGACATTTGACGGCATGGATTCAGTATGAGGTTTGTATCTAATGGGAGTCTGCAGTACAGTCCGGACTGCTCTCAGCAAGTGCTCCTCCTCTGCGCTGGTGTTTGTATCTCGAGCAGTGATCCATAATTTATAATAATTGTCTTCATTTAAGAGTGTGTACCTGATTTCCCATGTGGGCCAAAGAGGGCCAGAGTTCACTTAAAACCTACCTGTGGTACAGTCTGTAGAATCTGTAGCAATATACCGGTTTTCTTTCATACTCAACATAGCACTTCAGCAAACGACAGATCTTATTATTGTAGATTATAACAAATATTTGTATAAATCAACATCATTTCAGAATACATTTTTATTGAAATTTCTTTTGTCAAAAAAGACAGAGAGAAGAAGTTGTCACGGGAAAAAAATGGACACAAACAAGGGAAAACCTGAACGGCAAACAGGTTTTGAAAAGGATTGCACAATGCAAATGACAGCACATTTTTTGAATGGCGCTATTTTGATATTTTTGCATTTTTCTGTTAACATTTTTCTGAAGTAGTAGCAGTAAGGCTCATTTGCATTCCAACAGATGCACCTTGGCCTACAGATGCCATGAATAGATCCCTGAGAAGTGGCACAGTCTTTCATTTTCTCACCCGCGCTACTTCAGAGACAGTGTAAGAGGAAGCTAGCTCTTCAGGCCAGCTGTACTGACACTTGAATTATCTCTATGGTTCCACAAGGCGTGATGCTCAACGGAACAACTCGCACCTGTCAAGGTGGCGCTGGGATGGCACATGCACCCAAGTGCAGCAGGACTGTGAAACTAATTCCTGAGAGTAAACGGCAGGGGGAGAGCACACACCTGTTCTGCAGTAGAAGACGTTTATAGATGTCGATGGCCTCCTGGTAGTGGGAGCGCATGTAGTGGATGGATGCCAGGCTCAGCTGGTCTTCCGTCACATCCTCCAGGTTCTGGTGGAAACCCATCAGCCGCTTCTCATCGTTGAACTAAGACACAATATGCGGAGGAAACAGACAATAAATGAACACATCAAATGATTTTATCGGGCCTGTGTTGAGGTGAATGTACAGAAAATCTATGACACAAACACTGGATGGGCCACAACGTTTTCCTCACAAGATGAAATTAACTGTAAGATCAGTATTGAAAGTCTGATATTGTGACAGTCCTTATTCTATGACATGAATACAGATGTGTATGTTTCTCTCATATCTTCGACATAAACCTGTATTTACAGTCCAGGGTCACTCAGCATTGATTGATTAGTGATCAAGTGACGGCAGAGAGGAAAATTAAAAACATAGTCAAATAATATGGCAGTTTTCCAACCTTATGAGCCAAGTGGAAGAGTAGTCGGTTTTGGAGGGGGGACATTGGTGCTACAGAGAGCAAGAGACATCAAATGTAGTTAGACAGCAAACCACACGAAAATAAGAGGCACAATTCATTGACATCATAACCATAACTGTAGAAAATAACTGAGGAGTGAATTCATGTGAACTAAAAGTGTACCAACTACCCCAGTTAGCAAAATCTGCTAAATCTACTTCTTTGTGTTCCTCAAGCTGCAAAAAAGGTTTACGATAAAAGACTGCAAGTAATTATTAGACTTCTTGAATAAAACCCGGTGCACAATTACTGTTTCAATTGAAGGTTGTCCAAACACACACTATATGGCTAAAATTATGTGGGCACCACTTCGCAAAAAAAATGATGAACTTTTCATAATTGGTGCCATTGTATTATGTTTTGGTGAGCTACAGAAAACAAATCCAAAATGACACAATATGCCAAACTGATACTTCACTGAAATCACATGAATGAACAAACCAACAACTATAGATATTTAGAACCCACAGCATCTTTCCACCAATATGGTCCAATTCAATAGCAAAAATATGCTTCACCATATCTTTTGTCGACTGGTTGGTTGACATAGTGGATATGACTACCATATGTTGTTCACATTTTGATAATAAGTTGATGAGCTCGAGACAGTTAAATGCTTAACAATGCCACGGTGTACCGGTGAGCAAGAGGGTTGAATGCAGTGGTTAGAATACAGTGCAAAGGAGGATTTCACATAACAGTTCACCCTTAGATGCAGCCTCCTCAGCCTCTTGATAGAGCCCCAGGAAAAACAGTGCACAGGCCAGAAACACCCACACCTCAGCAGGGCATTCAGGCTTCATGGTCAGAGACTTGTACTCCTGTCACAACATGATAATGAAATATTACACGTGTGATTAAACTCTATAGAAAACAATCTTCTTATGCATTTGTCCAACAAGCATTCACAATAATTAGTTATTTAACTACTGCATGTGGGGTACCTCATGCATAATTCAGTATGCCAAATTACCCGCACACATAAACAAAATCAAATACCTCCATAGCTCTCTTGTAATCACCCAAGTGAAAGGCGCAGTAGCCGATCCAGAGGTCCGCATGCTCCTCTTTCTCGCCAATACTTCTCTGAAACTGGAGATGACACAGCAACAAATCAGCAGCAGCAGCACTCAGTAGTACAGTGCTGTCTGAAGCATAGATGTGGGAGTGACTCTATTTATGAAACTTCAATTCCAGGGCATGACACAGATAATCTGCAGGAGGCAGTGCAGTTGAAAATTGTTAACCCCTTTATGAAAGAGCAGCAATTATTTATTCAGCTAAAGGGGCAAGTTAAGCCAGTAGTTCCATCTCACAGAATCTCTTAACTGAATCATCACATTTTTATATTTTTTATGATGGGAAATTGCAGCTTCATTCCTTAATTTTGAAAAGTGATGGTCTAAGCACGTCATTTACAAAATAAAATCAAGGTAGGGACCCACAGGTGGGTTGTAGGAGATTTTATTAGTCGCCAAAAAGAATAATACAGCCTGTTAACTCAGCCTAAGTGCATTCATTAGGTCTCCTTTATTAAGTACTTAATATGTGCACATGCTTTCAATAACACATGCACAAAATAAAGTGTTTTAATAATTTGAATAATCTAGTTTAACTCTCCATTGTGTAATGTGACGAGTCTGACCTCCCCTGCTACACCATGCATCCTTTGAGGTTACCTGCCTTTACCTTATCCCTACCACCTCGACTTTAAAGTGACACGAAAAAGTGATGATAGACTGGTTAAAGGTTATTTAACATTTACTACATTGGTATTGAACTGAGTGCAGTTCTGTTGAATTCCCACCCTGTATGATTAATTACTTGTAACAATAATAATCATGTGACATTTTATTCACCCTTTTTTTGGATGAGTATTTTTCCAACTCCACCAATTGTTCATGTGTTGGTCAGCTGCAGTAAAGCCCACACACAGCTGATACTGATTCAGTTACTTGTGATCTATGAATGCATGTCAGCCCACAATTCACTCAAGAGCCTTTGCATCCAATGATTGTGTTATTAACCGATGTGGAACTACCTCTAACAGTGTAAACGCCCCCAGGTAGTCTCTCTGTTGCAGGTATTCCTCCAACGGCGGAGTCTTGTTTTTCTTCTTTTTCTCACTGCTCACCGGTGTCTCTCCCCCAACGGCTGGCTTCACGCGAGAGAGGATCTGCACAAAAAGTTTGAATTTCTCAAGTTGTCTCAGAAGTTTAAATTGGTTCAGAAATATGTAGAAACATGAACTCACCATGTCGACAAGTCTCTCTTGAAGACGTAGCTACTCAACTGTAGCTAGGACTTGTTTATCACTAACCCGGGTGCTCCTACAAACGGAAACACAACTTGTTAACGTTAGCCGTTACGCTTGCTAACGTTATCTATTGTTAGGCTTCTAGCTATCCAACCTTAACGTCATATTACATTAAAACTAACGTAAACAAAAGTATCTTGCCGCTAACACGGCAGTGATACAATAACAGTTAAGCACCTTTTTTCCACTATCTCCAGGAGAATTATGGGTGATCTTATTCTTCCGCTCTCATATTTTCAAATTAAAGGCGCAAGCAAAAGACCCGACAACGTAGTGAGGGAGTTTAACACCTAATCAGGTTGAAGACCATATCATGGTACTCCTTTGAAAACCTCTGAGCGGGCACAACCCCGGGTTGGAGATGGTATTTGAAGGAAAATATCCGACACTGCAGCCATTTTAGAATAAATTTCTCGAATGACATTTATTGTGAAGTCAAACAGACATTGGGACTCAACAGGAAACAGCTCAACTCCTGTGTTCAACTTGATTCAGTAGTTTGCTCTTTGTTGCTTAGCAACGGAACGGAGAGAAATGGATGCGGCAATATACTGTATATGCAAATATATATTTTCTTGCATGGCACAGCCATAAGTACACCAATAAAACGGATGTGTATTGGTGGTCACAGCTGCCCCAGTGGCCTAATGGATAAGGCACTAGCCTTCTAAGTCAAGGAGTGACGAGGTTTAGATTTAGAGGTACATAGTCTGAAGTTCGCACGGAGATACTGGTAATTCATATACTGTAATATATACTGTTAATTAGCTGTAATAGACTCAAATAATGTGTTAATTACCATTTACCTCACGTGACTCAACAAAAAGTTCACTCCTAATTAGCTGCTCAATACAAGGATGAATCTCAATCTGCACAACACCTGCAACAATTGCAATACTTACTCAACATAGATCATGTGTCAGCAGATTTAAAATTAGACATTCTGGTGTAGTTTTGACAAATCATGTTCTTTTCATGAAGTAGTTTTATTATATTTGTACAGCATCAGTTTGCATCTTGTATCGTATTGTATTTGTATCGTATTGTATTTGTTTTCCAGTGATGACAGATGTAGTATTGCTATGCATGTATACCTATAAATATAAACATTAAATAAACATTTCACATGATGCATATGTGCATACTTTATGCAGATGAATGAAACGAGACAGTTTTATGAATAACCAGCCAACTTTATTGATTTCTCAGCTAATAGTGCATTTCTCTAGTGTTTTGATAGGACCAGTCGGCGCAATAGCACCCTCACAGTCTGAGGTCTGAGCAGTGGGAGCTGCAGACCAGCCTTCAGGAGCATTCTGGGCTCCAGTACACTGTAGACAACAAAGGGAAACCGTGAGAAACATTTCATTAATATGCTTTCTGTTTAAATGTTTACGTTCATCCTTTGACAGCTTCCAAAAATCAAGCAGATATAATTTAGTATACAAGATTGTAGGTTCTTACAACTTGAAAGCCTTTTAAGCTACCAACAACTCTTCATTCTCATTCTCAGGCAGGAACTATTTTGACTATTGGGTTTGATTCTCTGCCCGACAAAATAGCTTTATTGGTCTATAAACCTCACTCCTTGATCAAAAACTATACGGCAGCCTTTAATGGGAGTGTCAAACATCTGCATTTCCATGTGGTTTTGCACCGCTCACCTCCTCTGGTTTCCGTAGAAGTAGAGATCCGGCATGATTTCTCGGGGGAGCTACCTGGAGATGGCGCCCCTCATCCTCCACAGAGTGGTGACCCTAGTCACACAGACAAGTTAATGTTTTATTTTTTTTTCTTCCACAAAACATTTTTACTTTCCATCACAATGTCAAATAAGGAGTCATGGGACAGTAAAAAAGCAAACAGGAGCTGAACCAGATCCAACTGGAAACATGCTGCCATTTGCTTTGAAGAAACAAGGCAACGTATTGCAAAGGTTACAACATTTAGTGTAGCTGGGCCTGCAACAAGTACCCAGTTAGTCTCCTATGAGAGGGAAATAAAGCACTTCAGTATTTAATGTTAAAATGTGGCTCAGGTCACTATCAAACTCCAGTCATGGGACAGCAGTCCTAATGGTGTTAGCGAAAACCCGGCCATATCACTCTGGCACACTTCCGACACCTAAACACAGACAAGATCAGTGCCAGGCTTTAATGGTGTGCTGCATGTTTAGTGCAATTAAGTTAAAAGATAAATAATGCGTTATCTCTTTTCTTATTTTAAAGTGACATGGTCTTGGCTTTAACAGAACATCTCTTCAAGACCAAACTGATGAGATGTTTCATGTATAACTACTTTAAAAATATACAACTTAACGTAGCTTTTTCCATAAACAGACCTGTATTCCTGGAGGAGATCCCCGGATTCTCGCCGGAAACAATGGCCCTGCCTGTCACCGGGTCGTCGTCACGTTATTGTACAAACCTGGAGAGGAAACGACACGAGGAAGGTAAATTACTTGCCACACAAACGTCCGCATAAATCCAGTTCAACCAAGGTCCTGTGATTTGACTGTCGCAAAGTCAAACCTTTTCTGATACATTGAACAGTGTCCAAGTGCAGCAGGACATAAGACAATTAAAAGAATTTAAAAAAAAAAATCTGTTTAACACCAAGTTTAACTTGTAACAGTGTGTCCCACGCAGGGACACAAGCCAGTTTTCACACATTACCACCACACCTAATACATTAGTCCGTCAATTACTTCATAAACAGTGTGATTTCCCAACATAGCCCTGATTTTGTGTAATAAAAATAATTACTGCCAACAAATTGATTTTAGTCTGGACAGTCAGAAAGACCGATGCATTCAAACTTCCCCCAAATCCACAAGAGTATGCATTCTAAAAACTGTACTTACAACACAAACTGACTTTTGGATTTTGCTTTCCATGTCTGCAGGAATTAGTGAAGAAAAGACTCATGTCATTCTTCCTCTAGTGGACACATCTTGAAGTCCAGGTTGGGTCCTTGATGGTGGGTTCCAGCTGCAAGGACCCTCAGCACATCCTCCAGCTGCAGCCCAACAAGACATTGTGTCCACTGAGTTTAGTGGGAGAGCTGGAAGAGGAGAAGACAAAAAATAAATAAAAAACATTACACTTTGCAACAAAAAGACTACAAGAGTACAAACATTCTTGATGGCAAGATCCTAATGTGATCCATGATGAAATATAGAGCAGACACTCCAGGGCCTTTGGTTGAATAAATAAATTTCAGTCACTCTTATTATAATAGACACGTGGCAGAAATGGCAGTACAGAATAGTGAACAGGGTCTCCTCTCAAACTTTTAAAGATACAAGGCTTAAAAAGGACCGAGATATTAGAGATATATTTGTTGCGCAAATCTTCCAATAGGTTAACATGTATTCTATATGGAGACATAGAAAGCTAAGATTTTATTTGTCACTTATTTTTAATGGAATATTAAGAGCCATTATTTAAAAACGTAAATATAGGTATTTACCAAGAACAACTTACGACCATTTTTTTATTTAAACAAATGCCAAACGAAAGAGATTTACGAAAATACATATTTTGACCAGCAAACATGTTTTAATTCTTTAATTTCAGTACGGTGCATAGCCCTATGTTAATGACTGTGTCCGTGTACAGGCACAGTAGCAAAGAGCATGACCGAAGTTGGACTACAGCAACTTCATATTGTTCATATTGTGTCCGTGAACGTTACATCGTAGCTGCAGCATAGTGACGGCTTTACTAACATGTAAGTGAATGTAATAAAGAAACGGTGCAGTAACCGATGTATTTCTCACCACGTGAACACGCTGTATGGAGATCACGATGTCGCAGTCCAAAGGGACGGAGGACGGAAGTTCCGTCGTATTTATAGTGACATCTACTTCCGCATGAGAGCTTGTTAATTCATGCCCTCAGTAATGCCTGCCAGGTACCAGTAGAGTCGACCATCAGAAAGCCTGAGCTTCTGAAGAAAAAAAAAGACTGTTCTTATAATACATCTATGCCCTGTAGTGACCAGAGGTCGCTCAGAGAAAGCACAATATAACAATATATGAACGATTATACATACATACATATATATATATAATGTTGTAATAGACAGTATAGCTACTAATACACCCAAAAGGCTGGTGAAATTCTCTCTGTCAAAATAAAAGCACACGAATTCAAAGTGAGTAGACTAAAAGTGTCATTAAAAGGTCTTATCATCCTCTTCATTAGATCATATCTACATTTTGACACAACCGTAACACTAATTTGAGGAACAAAAATTTTGCTGCAAAGTCAACTAACTAGCCTTTCCTGGAGCTTTCAATTGTATCTCAATATCTTCTTTAGCAGACATGTTTGCACAGTTGTTTTGGAGATCTCCAAGATTAAATAATCATACATATATATCTTCAATGATTAACTTCCACGTTCAACATGCTATTCTAATAATGGTTCTAATTGACACTTATTAAAAATAAATGAATAAATAAATAAATAAAATCAATTGTCAGGCGAAAAGGCAAGTCGGTAAAAAAGTGTCTTAAGACAGGATTTAAAAGCGGAAACATTTTCAGCATACCGGATGCTAACTGGAAGATTGTTCCAGAAATGAGGTGCCAGTACAGCAAACACTCGATCAGCAGACCTTAACCTGAACTCTGGAACACCTAGCAGACTTAACCCAGCGAATCTGAGAGGCCTTTTTGGACAATATGAGTTAAAAGTGCACTGATGTATTCTGGCGCCTGGCCATGCAAAGCCTTGTAAGTAGTGAGTACAATTTTAAAATGGATTCTAAAGGGAATTGGTAACCAGTGCAAGGTTACCAAAAGGGGCTATAATAAATGATACTCAGACATAAGTATGCAGGGTTTCCTGAAATGGGCGTTAATATGGCCACAGGTTCAAATTTTTGGAAATGAAAATGTGTTATCACTGAATTTTTTGCAGGGAAGAATGTGGAAAAATTACACCTGTCTGTCCAATCAAATTTCAATTTTTTTTGTCAATTTCAACATTGCATAGAAATTATGATGTTCTACTTTTAAAGTATTTGTAGATTTTTTTGTTGTTTTTGCTAAGCTATTTCAGTTTATGACAATTACGTTAGATTTTCCTTTCAGTTAAATAATTTACAACAAAATTATGGTTACCAGGTGTGTTATAACTTGTGTTTACACAAATTGACACATAGACACTGGTTTTATAGGAAAATATGCCGCCTTTTGGCAATTATTGACAATAACATGACATCAGGTTCCATGTTCTGCCAATCGGCAGAAGTGACTCAGGGTTCATCAGGGGACAGGACGTGAAGCTCCGCAGCTGTCACTCTTGTTCTGAAGATTTTGGAAACTATAAAACATATCATCTTTCATCTGTGGACCACAGTTTAGTGCATCAGACCTTTGACTCAGTTTTTAACCATGCTCTAGGGATGGTAAAGTTGCTCAGTCCACCACTGAAACATCGCAACAACTTTTGAATGGCTTGCCTATTGTGACAATCGTGGTCCCCAGAGGATGAAACCAATGACGTTGTTGATTTGACTTTTCCTCTTCCATCAGACCCAAACTTTACTTTGTCCAACACTTCGGTTTATTCCTGCAAAACTACTGACAGCCTGAACTCTGCTTTGTGTTTAGTGTTAATTAGCTACTATAACATTTTGCTCACACACTAAAGTGAACATACATTTAGCTAAGAGTACAGCTTTCAAACCTGCTAGCGTGGCTGTAGACTCTGTTGTTAATTTATAAATCTATTCTTTCTGATGTTACAAAATGTGAACCATTAGATTCTCTGACCAGATTAGGATATACAATATATATATATATATTTTTTTACAACGATCACAATGTTGTTACTACAAACTGTGACATGCATCTGTGATAGCAGAAACTGGTGGCTATAGTCGTAGGTCTGTCTGCAGGGTCCTTACAGCTCATCTGTCAACGTTATTTCAACCCATCAGGCTTTTTTATCTAAAATTGATCCTTACATCACAGAATCTGAAGGGTCACAGATTACGATGCCATGCTATGTTGTTTAAAGTCAAATGGCAGGCAGGACATCATGACTTCAAACAGGACTTGATTCCACCACTTGTCTCTCAAGGTCAAATGGAAATAAATTTCCTTAGCAAAACTCTACAGGGAAATGTGAGGAGGCTTCACTGACTTCAGTTGCTCAATTGCAAATCAGTGTCCTGGTTTATTTTACTTCAGACAGTCAAGCATGGCTAAATAATGCCATTGCACAGCCTCTGCCGATTATCCTGTGGAGTGGCCCTCTTCAGAAAGAAAACTGCATTTTCCGTGCATATCAAACTGGGCAATTGTGTCACATTGTAAACCCTTTTTCTGGGGTATTTCATTTAGTCGAGACAGACAGGAAACATGGGGAGAGAGGGGTGTTAAAACACATGGTCTGCTACTAGAACATCTCGGATATCAAGATTGAATTTTGTATAATTTACGTATGCAAACAATGACGTTTAGTCACAGGCGGGGACATTCATCGACTTATATGGAGAGGCAACAGAAACCTGAAACACAGGCTTCGCACTCATCTCTGCTATTACCTGAAAACTTCACCACCATGGAGATCGTGGTTTTGAAAATGCTCTTTATTGCGAGTGTGTCTGCGCAGTATGGGAAGCATAAATATGTGCAACATAAACACACATGGAAGGATGCTCAACAGTACTGCAGAGATAATTACACGGATCTGTTCCCCATCACTACACCGTGGGTTGAAGAGGGACTGAAAAATGCAGCAATCGGGAAAATTAGCGAGAGGTTCTGGATCGGTCTCTACAGAAATGAAACGCAGTGGAAGTGGTCAGGAGGAGGAGACGCATCAATCGTCCCGTGGGCTCAGGGCGAACCTAAAGACGATCAGCATCAATGGGTTGCTTCTGTTTGTTGGCAAGGCTGTAAAAGGGATGGATGGCACAACATCAATAATTTTCATGAACTGCCCTTTTTCTGCTTCAACCTGATTGTGGTGGAGTATGAGAAGACCTGGGAGCAGGCGATGTCGTACTGCAGAGAGGAACACACTGCACTCACAAGTCTGGCCTCTGAGGCTGAGCAGCTTCTGGCCCTGAGGGAGATCAAGCCCAAGCGCATCACTGAGCGGGTGTGGATCGGCCTGCGTTACCTGGCGGACCGCTGGCTGTGGGTGAACGGTGACCCTCTGGAGTATGAGGCCTGGCCCAAGGGAGGGGTTCGGGACCACCAGTGTCCAATACGGAACCGCTGTGGAGCTTTAACCAAAGCGGGGCTGTGGGAGAACTGGGACTGCCAGGACGAACTCAACTTCATCTGCTATTAAATGTCATTCATGTTACACAAGTTTTAAATGTCTCACTGGAGGTAACGTGATTTACAACTTTTTACGATATACTTTAAAATGTCTTTATAATTTCTGCTTTGTACAAATATGTCCTACTATTATTGCCATTTGTACTATTATGACAAGGACAAGTTAGTGTTTGATTTTAGCTAAGTTATCTTGCTTCTGTCTTTCAAGTCAATTTAGAAACTAAATGGCACAGGTTTGTTAAGAGCCACAAACCTGTCAATGACAAGCTTTTTTGAACAATATTTAAATATTTCGTCAAATGTTAAATAGTTCGTGAAATGTCAAATAGTTGTGAAAATGTCTATTAAAAGGTGGTCGGTATGGTTGATGTAACAGTTGCTATCTGGAACGAAAAAAACAATAAAAAAATTCAAAAATATTTTTTAAAAAGAGGAAAGTTTATTGACATTAAAAACCAGCCAGGCACGACGTCTGTCTGAGCAAACACATGCACAGACCAAATATCTACAATAACAAAACAGTCACAACAGAGGATCAACGAAGACTACAGGGGTGGTGTTATGATGAAGATAAATCAAAGAGGCAAAACTTCCATGTGTAAATTACGGCACATGTAGATAGATAGATACACAGCTAACACTGAAACCTACTCGTCATTAAAATTATCTTCGTGACCTTTTTTCTGTCATCTTATCGAGACTTCCAAAAATCTTCAAATGTGAGTGTGTAATGATCCATTTTGTTCAGACAATGAAGTCTTTCAATCTCCACTAACGAGATCTTCCATTTGGCATTATTTCCATAAACACTATGGAAATATAATCATTTTCAATATATCACCTCTTTTTTACATCAACAATAATAAATATTTATAGCGAAGGGAGACTGTACAATGAACATAAAAATTGGGCCTTCGTTTGTTTCAACCAATAATTCTGTATCTAGTCCAATATTTACAAAGCCAAGAAGACGCCGGACAACGCCCACACCTGCATCCGCTGTATCATAATGCTGTAGCGAACAAACTTCCCCTTGCGGGATTAATAAAGTATCTATCTATCTATCTATCTATCTATCTATCACGCCTCTCCAGCACTGGTAAGGATTCTGAATAACTCTTATAAACACAGTAGCACAATGATTAAGCAATGCTTCACTCCCAATGTTCTGGAAATATGCTCACAGGAAGTGACTGACTCCTAAACTAAATCTGAAGTCAAGTTTGCAATTTCAACCTGTCATTCAAATATTAACTTAATGTGTCGGGAAAAGTGCAAAGTGCAAATGTTGCTGTTTTTATCCAAAAAAAAAGTATTTCAAGTACACAACTCGTACAAATCACAAGTCTGAATTTTTGTCTGCTACTTTTCTTAAGCCCAGATGTGACGGACTATCATTACTTCTTTAAAACTCACATCTGGGTTCACTATGCTGAGCCACAAAATGCATCACAGTGGCGTACAAACTTAAGTAGCATAGTTGTGAGCGGTAAGGCAACAAAAGGTGTTATCGGGATTTTCAAGAAACATTGCTCAATCTTATGCAAGTTTAGAAAATATGGCAGAAGCCAGAGCTCTTCTCTCTGCGGTGCTTTGGTTTTTGGTTACCTCAGCAGATGTACCAGCACACCAGCCAGCTTTCTCAGAGTCCCAGTTGTCTCGACAGCATTTTAAAATACCTTGTCACAGCATAGTCACAGAGCCTCTTTCTTTTTAGTGGCAGCCAGACCTCAGGGTGTCCAAACATAAACAGTGAGAGGAGGAATAAGTTCACTTCACAGCGGGGAGTGTCACTTCAGCCCAAGATTGACAAGAGTGTGTCAGGTGCAACATCACAATCTCAAACGTACAAACGTACATTTTCACAAACATTTAAATAACAACACACACACACACACACACACACACACACACACACACACACACACACACACACACACACACACACACACACACACACACCTGGTTGTTATTCTCAAAAACTTGGTCGTGCTGGTTCACTGTCTCTACGAGCTCCACGGTTCCCGTTTCTTCCTTAGTGGGGCTTTCAGTGAGAACATAATGTATATCATTATCCCTCATACTTCATCCTGTTTTATTGTGACTCGTCAATGATGCTCTTCAGGATTTGAGGCCCATTCGGGCCATCAGCTGTTCGTAGACAGTCCAAGCCATAGCCGCCATCAGGGTGCGACGCAGAGACCTGGGGACAGCCCCACGAAAAAACCCGGCCATGCCGTGCTCCTGAGGGAGAGGACAGACCAGGAAAGATCAGTACGATACTTATGTAGTTGCCAAGCTGCACCCTTCTTGCCAACAACAATGTGCGATGCGATGAAAACGGACAGCTGTGATTAAATGAGCACACACACCGTGTAGATGTAGCGGATAGCATCCGTTGTGCTCCAGTGGGACGGGCTGATTTGAATGTGGGTCTTCACCACGTCTGCTGGCTGTGTGGCCAGCGACGCCATGACGCCTGCCACCATCCCACAGCCGAAGTTCACCAGCGGGGCATAGGGCGACGACGTCACCTCTGAGAGATGAGAGACAGTAGAGGAGCATGTTTCAAGAAAGAGCGGAGCTCTGGACAAGTTGTTGTTCTAAAATGAAGACAAACGCCGGTCAAGTTTCTATCCAAATTAAAATGCAAACATTGACAGAATGGCCAGAACAAATGACAAAAGAAAATGCGTATTAACGCACGTTTCAATGTAGAACAATTGGGCACATTGAGATAAACAGCTGGCGACACCGTTTGTCCAGTTGGGTGACATTAAACGGTTATTAAATGACGGCAGTCAAACCTCAAACAAAGGAAGACTGTGTGGAAAACATGATGGAAATATTGTATTTATTTCTAAGTCAAGTATTTGAGAAAAGATGGTTTATCATTTATTATATTTAGTTTCTATCGATACACCAACCTTTCTAACTCAGCAAAGACTTTCTGCAATTTTTCAACTTTCATTTTGTAATTTTTTATTTATTTGTATTTATTCTGGTGTTTCCACTCAGATTTTTTACTAATTGATTGAAAATGCTCAAAAAAACAGGTGTATAAAAACCCACTTTTGCTGCCGTATGAAAAAAATCATTTTAAGACATATATTCCAAAGCACTAACCTGTTCACGATACACTTCACCAATGTTCTGTAGAACAAGGACAACACTAAAGACGACCCGCTGCTCACCAGATCTGGATCAAGAAAACAGCGCTTCACATCATGATAAGCTGACGCAGTGTGGCTCTCACCTTGAGGCAGCGCCTTCTTGGCCTGGCTGTAGAACATGACGTAGATGCCGGAGAACGGAGCGTCTCGGAGCAGCGTGGCAGTCAGCCCTGAGAACAGAGCCCTGAAGCCCTCCGTCTCATACACACTCCTCAGAGCTCCTGCCACACTCACATAGTTGTAACAGCCACTCTGAAACCACATACGGATATGGAGAATGAATACGGAACACATATATTAAAAAATGTTGCCGACAATGTTACAGGCGGCCGCGGTGGAGTACCAGTTGAAGATTGTGGTTGTAAATGTATGCATGCTAGGTGTAATGATCATTTATTGGATACGTCTCTTACTCAGAGATACAGATACATTCACTGGAGACCATATTTGTTGTGCTCAGCTGTGCAGTCTCACATCACCTAATGAGGGCTATAACGAAGCAGAACTGATTAATGCATAAGGTGGACGTGTCGTGAAGGGACATTATCACTCTTTGTTAAATATGTGTGTGTCATGGATATACAAGGGATTTAGAAAGTAACTTGTTTAAATAAATCTATTACAACACACAAATATCCTAACTGCCCAGTTAACAAATTAAAAAACATCAATTAAAACTGGACTGTGAGCAGATGGAGAAGTGTTAACGTCCTCGAGTCATGCAGCACATCTCAGGTCAGAAGGGCTCTGAGGTCTCTCGGTGTAAAAAAAAGAAACTGCCACTCACCTCAAAGCGCGTCTTGATGACAGTGAACGGCAGCATGCAGACACCAGCCACAGCTCTGGCGCCCGCTCCGAGCAGAACAGCCTCGCCAGCGTTGGGGGCCCGCTCCAGGAAGTAGTGCTGCTTCAGGGAGTAGAAGGTGCTGAAGTAGATGCCCACGCCGGGGATGCAGCGCACAAATGACTGCCAGAGAGAAACAGCAGTGTCAAACATGTTTCACAATTGATCAATACAAGCAACGGGGATGTATAACTGCAGGAATTCTTGTAGAAGTGTTGAAAATAAAATGTAAGGTCAGTTACTCACTGGTGAAACCCCCTTCCACAGACTGAGGAAACTCTCTGTTCTGATAACGTTAATTAAAACGCTAAACATCCCCACCTTTGGTGCACTGCAGGAGGAAATTTAGGAATGGTTACAGACACACTCAAAGAAAAAACAAACATATGGACACTCAAAAACAGACAAAGATAAATAGTTTGGACCGTTAAACAATAATTAACTAAAGGCCTCAACTTGTGGAACGTTGTTTGAAATAAAAAATCCACTTTTAGCCGTTAACATTTCCGGTTGCTGTTACCAGTGGGGCTAATTGCAATCTAGCGGCCTGACAGTATAATTACACAGTGCTTGGTGTGACTAATTGCCCTATATGGGTGAAAACAGCAGATTCAGGCGAGCACTGCTTGCAAAGCGTGTCCTGCCATGCTGCGTATGTGTCGCTTTGTATCCGGAGAGCATGTTGTGGAAAAAGGTCGAGCAAAAGAAAGAGAACACCAGGGGCATGCTGAAGTGCACGTGTCTGACGGCATGCAGCAGAATGTGTGGTGTAGGTGGGTTTGCATGTTCATGCACATGAAGTGTGTCTGTGTGTTACATGGGCACGCACACACACACACACACATACCCCGGCTTGGCATTGTTCTGCAGGGTCTGCAGCCGTGTCTTGATCAGATCCAAAGGCTGGAAGAGCAGCGTAGAGCAGGTGCCGCTGACAGAGCCACACATAAAGGCTTTGAGAGCCGGGTGAGCCTGAGGACGACGACAGAGAGAGAGAGAGAGAGAGAGACAGTGAGAGGGGCAATAGAGGGGAGACAGGATGGAAGGATGGAGAAAAAGAGAGGATGGACGGATGGATGGCAAAGAGAGGAGGACAGAGAAATGAGAGGGTGGTGTTGGAGGATGACAGACAGAGTGGGAGGGAAAAGGCAAAGAGAAACATAAAGGATTAGTCACAGTGTAAAGAGCATAATGTGAAAATATGACATTCAACATCTTTCTCGCCATTGGTCACCTCTCCAATAATGCAACAATATTATCCAAACAAATATCTGCATTACGAAATCCTGACACAACAGAAATGTGATCCAAAATAAAGACGATCTCATATACATGTAATGGACTTTAAATGTAATACAAATATGCTTGTATGACATTTCCATTACAAAAACAAGCCTGTAGCACAGAGCAGGGGCCAGGTTCCACACAGTGGAGATGATGGAGATGTGCAGAGACAGTCCACACACACACACACACATCCTCTGTGGTTACATGCCTCATGGACAAATACGAGACACAAATATGGACAGACGGACAGATAAACACATTTTGAAGGATTTGAAGGTTAACACTTCCATAAAAAAAAAATATGTAAACGAAGAAAAGAAAATGTTTCTAATAAGGCCATAACAATAATAACTACAGCAAGCACAACATAGAATGCCTGCACCATACATAAGCTGTCTGCTATACACACTTTCATTCATCACATACTATATGTAGCGTCTACACACATGTGCCACTTTAATGCGCGCATTACACACACACACACTCCTACCTTCCTGCCCGCGGCTCTGCTCTGAGAATCCTCTTTTTCCTGCATGTTGCCCTCTTTCACCTCCTTCTCTCTGTGATGCTGCTATTACAAATAGCATATTATAATATACACGTCCATCTCTCTCACAAACCTTCCCTCTCTCTCTCTCTCTCGCTCCACTGCCGACCCACGATAGCTTTTCTCCTGCTTCTCTTCCTACCCCCACCCCCAAAGCAGACGCTTAACCCAGCCTGAGTTTTCTTATGGAGTTCTATCTTTATCTTTCAGAGACACCCCAACACATCTGTACTGCCCCCCCCTCCTGCGAAGCTCACTGCTAAATTGCATCTTTGTCAAACTGTATGAGTCATGAAGTGGCTGTGTATGTGTGTGTGTGTGTGTGTGTGTGATTTTAGAGAAAGAGAAAAAAGGATATTCTTGCATTATTATGCTATTGTATTATTTTCATATAAGTGGCAGAGGGAGCACCCCGAGTCTGACAAGCGGCCTTTTCCGGTCATTCTCAAGCTACACTAAAAAAAATTCCTAAACAAAATAAAAGACAAAAATAAACACAATAGTATTTACCGCAGTTATCTCTGGGACAATATTTTGACCACCAAAATGTGTTATCGTGGCAGGCCTATTTTCAGAAAATATTTCAAGATAGGCAGCAGCCATATTTTAATGAAGACGAATTATGCTCGCTCACTCTCTCTCTCACACACACACACACACACACACACACACGCACAGGATTGTTATCAGTATTGCCCACATGTAGTTTCAATTGCTGTGCCATCAGGTTGGACTGGGTGTTTCTTTTCTATCATTAATCAACTACTGGTAGCTTGGTTGGACAGTCCAAAGGTTGAAAGTGAAATTGTGTATCTGCAAAATATTGTTATAAAGGTCACACACACACTCACACACAAACAAAGGTCTCACACACACACACACACACACATCATTTCAATTGGTTATATTTCAGCTGCTTTATTCGTACAGGAAAATATATGCTGATGAAATATGCGTTAGTTCACCTCTTCACTGACAGACTGAGAACACTGACTGTGTGAGGACCAGAACAAACAGGTGCACTCACCGCTGCTAACTCCATCTTTGACCTGGATGCTGAGTCCAGGTTCTCTCCTGGTGCTGCCGTTTTTGAAGCTGGTGAATTTCAGCCAACGTTACTAGAAGAGGGGGAAATAAGATGACAGCCGCTTGTCACATTTCAAAACAATATGGTCGTTTGCAAAGTCTCCATGAAGCCTTAGCAGGAAGCTAGTTTAGCTAATTAGCAGTCAGAGTGCCGGTATGCTAAGGAAACGGTAACGTTGTTACAACAGCCTCTCCTGACAGGCTAACATTGACTAGCCGGACACATCCAAGTCAGACAGAGCGACAAGCGACTGGTTACAACACAGTGGGCTACTTTAAAGGCAAACGCCGTGAAAACCTGCCAGCTATGACACCCAGTTTATTTAAGCATCGCTGAAGCTTCACTCAGCCAGATACACTACTAACGCTAGCTAGTTGCTAACCTAGCATGCTAGCTCTTCTTACCCGACTGTGTGTCAAGGATTGATGGAGGTGATGGTCACATCTGCCAGCTTCAGGAGCGCCATGCTTAGTATTCAATTCAACTTTTGATTTAACTTTCCCTGTGAAAGTTGCTCAAGAGTCTACTAGTTGTAAACACTGTTACCAGGCCGAATACAGAACTTTGACAAATGCTCGTCAGCTAGCTAGCGTCAGTGTTAGCTCACCCTAGTGACGTTAGCCAAGTTATTTAACTTTAGTCTGGCTCTATGTAGCTTTAACGCTGTGCCGTAGGTCGTGGCCCCAAAGCTGCTTTTCCAATATAGAAAATGTGAACCTTAGTAATAAATGTCATACAACAGAGACTGACGTTATCGCTACTGGCTGCGACCGTTAGCGTCTGACTAGCTAAGTTCACCTCCAGCGCAGCGCCGACACATCTCTCAGGTCACTCAGTTCAGCCACAATAGTTCAGAGGGCATTGGTTGGTTTGTTCAGTGATGAAAAATTGGTTAGTGTGCGAGATTGGCATTGTAAGGCACCAATATATGTAAAATGTAGAGTAGAGTTCATATTCTGCCGTTAGAATTTCTTTAAAAATGAAACAAGCCGGTATGTACTGTACAATGCATCTCTAACAGTGGCCTCAGAGTGTCGCTGTTGTGTATCAGTCCTAATATGAAAAGAATTTGATGGCATCAAATGTGTTTTTCAACCGATTACAGTGTATGTATCGTACTGTACATTATCCTGCAACCATTTACCTTTATTTATTTAAACCACTAAACGGAATTAGACCTTTTAAAATACTAAAAGTCTAATTCCGTCTGCAAAATGTAATTATCCAGTGTAAATTTAATGATTTGAGTTTCAAGCCAACAATTTAACCTCCCTAAAAAACATGTGCCAGACTATTATTGAGTCCCAATGTGTTCAATGTTACATAAATACACCATTATAAAATAACCAACTATGTATGAATACAGAAATGTAATGAGTGATATGCAACGTCTGAAACACTTAAGGTCTCCGTGGGATTTTAGGCTGTTTGTATAATTTACAGCCTTCATATGTGCATACCGTCGTATTGTGGTTTAGTATCCCCCCCATGTTTTATACATCGTTAATTCAAAAAAGGAGTCAATATAGGATCATAAATCAACTGGCAGATTATATCCAACTATTGTTTTTTACTCTTCCGAGGTCCTATGCTGTACAAACCTGAGACAAATCATATCACAATCTAACCAGCGTTCCCTCCCTTACTACTACAAAAACTAGTTATGCATTACCTGCATAATTCCTTCAGCACTCCACAACTGAAAAATATTCTAAAGTATATTGCTCGCTGATGCGCCGAGTATATACTTTTGGGTTTTTTCTGGAGAAGGAAAAAACCAGTTTGCACAGAAGGGATATATTTAGTTTAAGATCAGTTAACGTGTACAAAAGGTGTAGGTTTCATTCACAGATCAATGTTTTTGGAGAGCTGCATTTAGTCTCACAGGAGAGGACTCGCTGCAGTTGAATGTTCAACCTCAGACACTATAAGGTTGAAAGACTCCATTGTTGATGGCATGCTTGCTGAAACTAAGTTTCGGCTTTCCCTCATGCCAGCAGCATCATTTTGAAAAGGGAAGTTATACATTTCGTTGGAAATATTTGCAGTAGAAGAGGACAGCTTGTTTGTTTTAAGCCATTATAGGTTGTTCCTTATTTCAAAAAACTACTCCGACTCAGGTGTACTTTGAGAAGAAATGGACACAGGGAATTTATTCCCCGATTACGTGCATTCAAATTTGCTCCATGAGGGGCTCTGTTCACAGCCATTTAGGCAAGACGCTAATGGCCTCAGTGTGCGTATTGGCACGCAAGTATTGTTTTATGACAGACTAGAAAAACTAGCCCTATTCTTTCACCCAAAACTTTTCAAAATTGACAAAAGTCACCCAAGAGACAACAACTCAAATGCATTTGATAATTTGTCAATTTATTGCATTCAAGGCATTTGCTGAAATATAGATTAGCCTTGAAATATTGGCATCACTATGACATGTAATTGGTTTGATAATAGTCTCATACCCTACCAGTGCATCTAAAATATGCATGGAAACAGAGGATAATGTGCTAATAGAAAACCTCCTCTGCTGTGCAAAGCATAGCACCAAACATAGTACAGTGAGAGCTACAATGTGATGGCCCACCACCAACAATCCATAAAGTGTAAAACCAGAGAAGAATGATACATCAACCAAGCTATCATAGATGATCGCACAACATTTCTACCAACGTATTCACCAACATTGCTGCTTTTCGACTACACCACCTCTAATGAAATGAACAATTTCCAATCTCGTGTCCATTTTGTCTGTGTTGGCGTTAAGCAAAATTGGTTGAGGTAATAACACGAAATTATGTCAGCGAGAGGAAAAGCCTATAGTACAAATGCAGATTGATGCTAACAATAGCAAATGTGAACCAGTTTCAAACGGCATCAAAAGCTCCCAAAACACCTATATTCCTGTGCAAAAGCAGCATAAAATGTCCAGTGTTTCCCCAAAAATAAAAAAGGTACAGCAACTGCACATGAACCTCAAGCACCAAAAAAAAAAAAAAAAAAAAAAAAAAAAAATTGCAATGGCTTGTTACAAGTGTGATAATATATATAATATACCCATTAAGTAGAAAAAGAGACCGTAAAGCTTTAGAAAAACACCGCTTACATTCACTGAGTTGAAATCGGTTTTGGCCACACAAATGTATTTTATGGAAAGCAACAATAAGGCTATAAGATGAATGTCAAGGGGAATACATTGCTAAATCCTCTTAAAAAAGTCTTAATAGCTTTTTTTTAAAAAAACTGTATCTGCATGTTGACTGGTCATTGTATTATTCCCTCTTGGCCCTCCGTTCACTCAGGTGCAGGCTCAGGTGTTTCAGTCTTCACGTCCACATCCTCATCGCTGTCCAGGCCAGTGCGATTTATGATACGACGCATATTGAAAGGCACTTCCCCACGTCTTTAAAACAAACAAATACATAATGGATCAAACAGTCAGGTGCTGCACAAGTACTTGATATAAGTAGAGAAGATGAGATGTACAGTATTAATGAATACATTTAAAAAAATAAGATCATGCAGCCACAAAAGGCTTTATACAACTTTTTCTCTCCACATAAGTAGCCCTACACACCAAGACTTGTAAACAGACCTTTCAGCAACTTAGTTTTCGAGTGACCTTTCCTGCCCTCTTTTTCACATCCCCAGCATGCAATGTGAGCTTTTCTATTTAACATTTGCAGTCTCAACTATTCTGAATGCAAACTCACAAAAGGGATTAATATCAAAATTTCAAAAATGCTAAGGGAAGCAAAATTAACCATAACTCTGCACAGCACAAGGATAAATGGGGAAAGACGTTACATATGAATATATGCTGAAAGAATGGGGAAAATCTGTTACAATTTAACATAATTCATTGCATGCATTATACCACACAGGAGATGCATTGGGGCTGAACTGCTGTAGCCTAAATGCAACTCAGATAATGGGATCTCACACATGCTGTGTGTTCCAAATCCCATAACAGACTATTTAGTGTGCCAGAAAGTACGTACTTTGTAAGGGCAGCTTATTTTATATGTACTAAATTTAATACAATTATTTATAAACATATGTCAGAAACATTACAGAAAGTAATTACACCGGACCCCGAATATCTATGATTGGAGACGTAGCAATGCTCAAAAAGTGTAATAGTGGAAAGAAATTAATACTTTAAATAATGACCGCAGCAAAAAAAAAAAAAAAAAAAAAAAAGTACGTTAATTAACTGGAAATCAAAAGAACCCACCTTCAATAAAACAATGATGAACTGATGCGAACTATCTCACCCCAGAAAAAAAAAATACTGTTAAAGCGCAACCCATGACATTTTCCAGGATATGGGCAACCTTATCTACAAAAAAAAAAAAAAAAAAAAAAAAAAAAAAAAAAAAAAAAAAA